CATTTAGTGCTTCCTGTGTGAACTCATGCGCCATGTCTCAGTACCCTACCCATGAAACAATCTTGAGGTAGATGTGATCATTCTCCTCAGCGTAGGGTGAGGGAATCCGAGGCTCAGCGAGGTCAAGCCATTTGCCCGACTCTGCCTGACCAGTGAGCAGTACTGTGAACCTCTCCAGTCAGAGTGTGGTGTCTAAGTTCCCTGTCAGAGAAAGACCCTCATGCACAAAAAGGCAATGCTGCGCCTAGGTCCTCAGTCTTCTCAGTGAGGCTTGCCCTAACAGGAAGATGCGCTGCCACCCCAAAGGGTCTCTTACGTGTGACACAAGGGCAGGGCCAACAGAGGTGGAGTCACTCCGGACACAGTGATAACCTTACCGGGGTAACCTCTGCCTGTTTTTCTATGCGTCTATCAGCCAGCGGAGATTGCCCTGTGATTCTGTGGCCAGAGCCCTAGGATAGCTCTGATGAGGTCAGGCCAGGAGGTCGGAAGCTATCCAGTAGGAAGGACAGTCCCAGCATTCCACAGCCAGGGCCCTGCGGGAGAGAAGGCCTCGAGGCCCTGCCAGAGCACAGAGCCCTACCGCTCCCCATGCAACTTCCCCACTGGGGGACAGTGAACCTGTTTCTCATAAAAAAAAAAAATCAGACCCAAACCTGGGGTGGGGGATCCCAGCTTCCTGACTCTTCCTTCAATGTAACAGACATCTTACACTGAAACTAGCCAAACTCCCTTCCAGGCCCTGGCCCACGTGGTTATGCGTGAATGGAAATCAGCCTCAAGCAAACCCCTGTGAAAGATCATAGGCCCATGTGTTCTCTTTACACTGTTCACTGTTTGAATCCTGCACTGGCCTGTAACAGATACAGCTACTTAACCATCGGACAGTGCAAAGAACACTTTCATGGGGACGGAGAAGACGTGTCTTCTAGCCCAGAATCTCCTACACGGTTCTTTGCCTCAGTTTCCTCACCTCTAAATAGGGAAAAGTAGCCTGTCGCTAATTAACACACTCAAGTGTTGTATAAAAGGAGACACGGGGGGCAAGCAACCTCGGAATTCCTATGCAGCAGTACTCTCACCATCACCCACCACAGTGCTCACCTTCTCTCCTGCCCACACCCAATCCCAGAGGCCCAGGAGCACAAACGGCTAAACAGCATCACTCAAGGCCTGGGCCAGGATGAGCCCTGAATTCCTGCGGGTTTAGCGGATGCCCTCAATAAAGGTGACTGTGATAGAACCAAGGGGGAAAAGAAAACATTCTTCTCCAGCAGCCAGAGGGACTGCCTTCTTGCCTGCTCTTCCGGATTAGCTAGCAACATGCCCCTTCCCCAGAAAGCTCTGGATCAATCATTCTGGAAACTGCCTAAGTCCTAAAGAGCGTTTAACAACACTCTGAGTTCCTTCCCTCCTCTTTCTAGCAGTACCCCTTTCAAGCAACCCCACATTTTCGATTTATTAGTGTGAGCTCTGCAGAGGAGGATGGCTTACTCCACATCATCTGGGAAACAGATGCTGGTTGTTACGCATGTGATTTTAGTGGCCTCACACACGCATATAAAGAAGCAACTGGCCATCTACAGAGTTAACCTGCCTGAACTTGCCAGGCAGCCCCACCACAAATCCTTATTCAAGCCCGGCTTGTGACAAGGGTGTGTTGGCAGGGCTGGGCAGGAAAGGCTGGAGGGAGTAAAGCAGGCAAGTCGCTCTGAAGCGTGCTGGAGAATGACGGGCAAGGGCAGTGAGAGGCGGACAGGGCAGGTCAGGGTGAGGGTGCCCGCTGCAGGATGAGCTCTGTAATCTCCGCCCTGCTCCCCAATCTCATGGGTATCCCATAGTAGGCCGTGCCTGGGCTGACATATACAAATGTGGTCTGGGCGACCTGGTAGAGACCAGCAAAGAAAGGGTTCAGGAGGTAGGCCGCCACATTCAAGGGGAAGATCTGCCCAGCGTGCGTGTGTCCAGAAAGGATCAGGTTAATATCTGGCCGAGCCTGAAGGGCTCTCTTGGCAGCCAGGGGCTGGTGAGCGAGCAAGATGGTGGTGTGGTCTGGGCTGCAGCCCCCCAGGGCTTTCACGAGATCCATGCCATGGCCAGAGTAGTGTAGGAGGTCTGCTTCGATGTCATCCACCCCAGCCAAGCAGATCCAGTCGTCATCCTTACCACCTACATCACGTTGGGCCTGTGTGGCAGAAATTTTTACATTCTCATTGTGCAGGGGCCTGACATTCAGGGATTCCAGCAGCGCAAACCAGTTGCTGACATCTGACGTGTAGTATTCGTGATTCCCTGTGACAAAGTAGGTGCCGAGGCGTGAGTGAAGCTGGCCCAAAGGAGCGACAGCCGTCCGGAGGATCGAGGCTTCTGAATCACAGAGGTCACCCACGATCACGGTGACATCCGGTTGCAGCATGTTCACCATCCTCACGAACATCTCCATCTTGGTCCTGCCCACAGTGGGGCCCAAGTGAATGTCTGAGAGGAGCACAATCTTGAGGTGGTCCATAGACGGGGGCAGCTGGTGGATGGGCACCTCCACGGTTTTCACAGCAGGGGGCTGGGCAGCGTTCAGAAGCCCGACTATGCTGAGCACGGCGGTCACCACCACTGCCAGGGCCGGCCTGAGTGCCAGCTTCCTTGTCTTGTCAAGGCTGCCCACAACCCTGCCACTGCGCCAGGCCAAGAGCTGGTAGGCCTGCTCCATGCCGCTGAGGGTACAGAGGAAGAAGACCATGATGATGTATGCCCCAAGGCAGGAGTAGGCAGCCAAGGAAAAGAGGTAGGGCTCCTCGGCCACTAAAAAGAGCATGGTGAAGAAACTGGAATGGGCCAGGGCCAGAAATGTCACAACAGCCATCTTCCAAAGCTGAAAGCAGGCCGACTCTGCGGCTGGGGAATGGCTAAGGTTGCTGACTGCACTACGCCAGATGTAGAGGGAGCCAATAAGCATGAGCGAATTGGCAAACAGGGCGAGCTGCAGGCGGAACAGCCAACGCCAGGCCCTGAGCTCAAGGCTCTCCGCCAGGTAGGAGCGGGAGATAACCATGGACACGAAGACAGTGCCTGCAGCCAGGGCGGCCTTCACACCCAAGGGCAGCTGCCTGATGATCACCATTTTCTCTGCTCCTAAGAAGGTTCCCTGTCAGTTCTGTGCAGGCGGGCTCGGGAAGGTGAGTTCCTTAGAAAGGACAGTGGCCAAGGTGAAGGTTCCAGGTCAGCTCCGCCTGCAACCAGGAACCGGCGTCAGCTTTGTCGGATATCAGAGCTTTCTTGTCCCCATTCAAACCCTGAAAACCACTTACATCTGCCCAACCTGCCTTGAATCCAAGCCACCCGTCAGTGGCTACACCTGATTACTAAAATACAAGTACACTGTATTGTAACATGATGGGCAGTTTTCATTTTCTTCTTCCCCAGTTTTCTGAATGTTTAAAGTTTTTCCACAATGCATATGGAATTTCTTTTATAATAAGATATACATTATTCTAAGTCATTGGTTCTCAAAAGTGTGGTCTGGGGAGGCCCGAGGGTCCATTTAGTCAAAACTGTTTTCATAATACTACTAAGCCATAACTGACTTTTCCATTCTCATTCTCTCATGAGCGTACAGTCGAGTTTTCCAGAGGCTATGTGACGTGCGCTACAGCAAGACCGAAAGCAGAAGTAGCTATGAGAATCCGACTGTCATCTATTGAGACAGACATGAAAGAGATTTGCAAAAATGAAAAACAAGACCACTCTTCGCCCTAAAATTTGGGGAGAAATACTGTTATTGTTCAAAGAAACATAGGTTTCTTAACATGTAATAGATTTATTATTTCTTAAATAAATTAATAGTTTTAAATTGTCTGTTTTAATTTCTAGCATAGTTAAAGTTTGAGAACCTCTGTTCTAGATAAATATAAACAAGGAAACCACGGAAAGCTCTTGGGCTGGTATCTTTCTTTAGCTCTAGGCCCAGGAGGGACACCTAGACACCTAAGAATTCCTGGGGTGAAGCCAGCCTCCCTCTGTGGGTCTTGGGCATGGCAGTCATAGGGCATCCTCCCCCCCACCCCCCCCAAACACATGATGCTGCGCAACCATTAATGAAGGGACTGCCCGGTCCACCAGCTCCTCATCCATAAATCCATCTTTCCCCTCACACAACTCTCCTAATTATTGGTTAAAATCTCCCCCCCACAACCTCCCATCTTTCTCTGTTGCTGTTTCCTGGAACTATCCCAATTCCACCCTGGCCAGGGGTTCTCACAACTGGCTAGCTCTCACCCCCTCGGTCTCCCCCAGAACTCCCTACTAGACAACAAAAAAAAACAAAAAAATGGGACGGAGGGTACCATAGACCAGGCAGACAGGGATTAGCAAATAATTTGAGGCGACCTTTTCCCAAGAGGAATCCAAAATTAAAACATATTCAGCAGCCATTTTACAAACGATTAAGATTCTCGCCCTAGGTTTTAGAGAACTGTATGACTTTGCTCTTAGGCACGTTATTCAAAGCCTTTGATGGAAGGGTGTAATTTACAAGGCAACCGGCCCAAATTTCACCATCTTCTACTTAAAAACATGCCCTCGACTCAGCCCACCCAAACTCTGGCGGAACCAAAACTGGTTCGCTGACCGTGCACGCCCCCCACGACCCCTAACCTACCCGCCCAGCCAGACCTCCCTCCAGCCACGCTGGCTGCCACCTGCAGCCCGCCTCTCGTCCACCTTCGGCCTGGACCGCCAAACCCTGACGGAGAAACTCCAAGCCAGAAAGGATAGGACGGGGGGTGACGAGAAGAGCACGACATGTTTGAAAAGAGAACACCTCGAAGGAAATTAATCCAGTGTTCCCAAGGCGGGGGCCTCCTCTGACCCCATTTTTTTCTCCTTCCGGAGCGCTCCGCAGAGCACAAACTGGACAAGGGAGGGCGCCCCAAACCAAAGCCCAAAGCTTCCTCTAATAACGCGCGCTCCTTGGAATCCCCCTCCCGGAAAATGGCAAAGCTGGAAGCGTTTGGGCGCACCTCATCTCACCCACACGTTGCACTCGTGGGGAAGTGGGTCCAAGAGAAACCCGCGGCTGGAGCGGAACGCACAAGCGACAGGGCTACCGGGAAGGACGCGCGCCCCGCCCGGCCCGCCCCCGGCGGGAGGACCAGTCCACTGCCTGCGTTCCGCAGGCTGCCTGCCTGCCCAGGTGCATCCCCGGGTCCCAGGCCCACCGTCCTGCGGGACTCCGGTTGGCCGCAGCCCCAGCCCCGTCCTCTGCCAGCATGTCCCCTGTCAATGCATCTCCGCGCCAGGGGTCCTGTGGACTTACATGCAAGCCGCGCGCACTGTCCAGCAGCAGCGACACCAGCATCAGACAGAGAATGCGAACAGCCCCCAGCATGTCCACCTTCCAGCCTCTCGGCGACTCCGCAGTCGGCGCCCGGGCCAGCCGCTCGGCGTCACTTGACTGAGGACCCGTGGTCTGGCACCGCCCCTAGCCGGTCCTGCCGGCAGCTCCGGGGCCGGCTCCGCCCCGTGCCCCGCCTGGTGACAGCAGAGCCGCGGGCGGGGAAGAAGGCGCGGCCCAGCCTGGGGGCCTCGCGCGGCCGCGTGACTGCAGGGTAGTGTTATCTGGCCCCTGTCGGCCTCTGCCAGACGCCTTCGAAAGGCAATCGGGAGGTCCGGCTGTCAGCAGCTAGATAACGCGCCCGGGGGTTGGACTTGAACAAGGGTCTCCTGGCTCCCTGGCTGTCAGAGGACAGAAGCGGGCAGTTGAGAACAGATAAGCCTAAGTGGGCCAGACATGCGGCGCTCTCCGAAAAACTCTCAACCAGGGGTCCGCAAAGTGTGGTCCCTGGACTAACCGTAAACCTGGAAATTGTTAGAAACGCGAATTACAGGGCCCCACCCCAGGAACTCTCGATCAGAAACTCTAGGGATGGGATCCAGAAATCTGTATTTTTTACAAACCCTCCAAGCTATTCTCCTGCATGCTAAAGCTTGAGAACCACTGTCCTAGGTTACTGATAAATTTAGAGGTATGGTTCAGCTGTGGTAAAATCATTCCGAATGCCAACCCTCAAGGCACCAGGGTCTGCAGCATTTTTACTTCATTGTTGGATTTTGAGAGAGAAGAGCAACACCTCCCACCTTTCAATTTTGCACTTGAATCTCTCCACATCCGCGCGTGGCAGATGTAGGCAGATCTGTCAAATCAGGGTGAAATAGTCATGCTCCCCTTAAAGAGATGCAGTCTTAGAAGTGCAACATCAGGTGATTTCGTTATTGTGCAAACATCCCAGAGGGCTCTTGCACAAACCTAGGTGGTCTAGCTTACTACACACCCAAGCTGTAAGGTACAGCCTGATGCTCCTGGGCTACAAGCCTGTACAGCATATTACTGTACAAAACGTAAGACTAAATCAAGGACAAGAGAAAATGACGTGATCAAGAGATGCAGCAAACAAGAGATGTATGAGACCAGTGCTGGCATAACAGAGCATACCGTTTTACAGCAAACTTTTTAATAAGTAGAAAGAGTACACACTAAATACCAATAAAAAGCATGGTATAGTAAATACATAAACCAGTACATTGTCATTTATTGTCATTATCAAGTATTATGTACTGTATACAATTGTGTGTTACATTTCTATATGACTGGCAGCAGGTTTATTTACACCAGCTTCACCACAAACATGTGAGTCATATGTTGTGCTATGACATTACAGTGGCTATGACGTCACTAGGCAAGAGGAATTTTTCCGCTCCATTATAACCTTATGGGACCACTATTGTATATGCGGTCCATTATTGCCTGAAACGTCATTATGCAATGCATGACTGTAGTATTATCTCTTTTTACACTTGGGAGAACAAAGGCTTTGCGATGTGAGTTAACTTATCCATGGTCCCTGGTTACCACTAGCTCTGAGTCTGAAGTAAAAAAAAACCTGTTCCTGGCTGGTTCCCAGCACTACCTGAAAATCCCTCCTTTTTATCACTGCCCAAGTCTCAACTTTAACCGAAATTGAGTTTCAGAGGAAAGAGTCTTTAGGGAAATCACTGTTAAATATATACATTTAATTTTTCTACCTTTGTTGAGTTATACGAGTTGACATACCACAAAATTCACTTCTTTCCAAGACTTTTTTTTTTCCAGGTTCCTCAATACAAAACAATCCAACCAATCATCTCTGTGTTCATAACAGTCGGTATCTCAAAGAAGGGCGGGAAAGCCCAGTTCAAACTTAAAGGAAAAAACCTGAGTCATCCTAATGTTAAACCTACTACTTTTGTTTTCAGCCCCAACCTGAGTTTTAACGTATAACTTGGGCAGACTGAAAATCTTTGAGTGTGTAGAAGCTTTGGCTTTTAGGGAATTAAAGAAAAGCTGCAAAATATAACTTTTTTGGAAAGATTTTTGAATATGGAATCTAGAACAGGATTAAAAAGGCAATGAGCTCCAGAAAAATCAAAAGTTACTCACAAATCAAGATAATCCAGAGAGTAACAAAAGCACTGTGAACCACTGCAGAGGGAATACCTAGAGACTGCCTGACCAGCTGTGTGGTCACAAGTAAAAGTTAAAAAACACTTTCTGAGCGAGGCCTTTGACAGCGCAGTTGGTAGAGCAGAGGACTGTAGTGGATGACAAAAAACACTTTCTGTATCTGTTTTTAAAATAAGTTAAAAAGTTATTTTTTTAACTTTCTAAAAAGTTAAAAAATAACCTTAGCTGTGTTTCCCCCCAAAAAGTATACATTGTGTAACAAAATAGCTATAATTTCCATTTGCTCAGACTCCAGAGTCAGAGAAATCATGACTGGCTTTCCTCTCTCTCAGTTTGTTTGCTTGCCTGGAATACAGAGTCCTTCTCTATGTACTGTGAAATCCTCTCCAAACTCTGCAATCCTCAGCCAGTACTAATGAGCAAGGGCTTTGGAGGCAATCCAACCACCCTTTGGAGCCACCCTTGAGTTGGAATTCCAACTCTGCCACTTAATAACTGTGTGACTGTGGGCAAGTTACTTAAACTCTCCGAACCTTAGTTCCTTCGTTGGTAAAATAGGGATAATAGTCTGAAACTCACTGGATAGTCGGGGAAGCTGCCAGAGGTGGTAACTACAAGATGTTTGGCACATGCAGGATGTTAGCGGGAGAGCTGATGAAATCAGAATTAGGCCTGTAAGTTAATTTCCTGATTTTGATAAGGGTACAAGACCTAAAGATTAAAAAATAATTTTGTATTAATTTATTGATTTTGGTCAGTACACTGTGGTTATAGAAGAGAATGTGTTTCTTTTTAGGAAAAGAAGAAAAAGGCACCATCTTTGCAACTGACTCTCAAACTGTTCAGAGAAAAATGTGTATGGACACACACACAGAACCATAAAGCAAATGTAGGAAAATGTTGACATTTGAGGAATCCATCAAGGTATTCTTTGTACTGTTTTTTCAATGTTTTTCTAAGTCCAAGTTACTGCAAAATAATTTTTTTAAAAATCCTTAGCAAATGGCAGATTCAACTTTTCCCTCCTTTTCCCCAGCGTAATGACCCAAGGTGATAATAGTCAGTAGGCATTTTTAACTGAATTGAGGCAGAAAGTGTTTAGCACAGGGGTATGCTAAACAAACTAAAGCCAGTGACCCAAATCTGGCCTGCGGCCTGTTTTTGTATGGCCTGCCAGTTAAGAGTCATTTTTACTTTATTAAATGGTTGAAAAAATTCAAAAGAAGAATAATATTTTGTGACATTTGAAAACAATATTGAAATGTCAGTGTCCATAAATAAAGTTGTATTAGAACACAGCCACTCCCAATTCTCTACTTATTGCATATGGCTGCTTTCATACTACAGTGGCAGAGTCCAGTAATTGAAACAGAGACCTTATGGCCCACAAAACCTAGATTTTTTTTCTATCTGGCCTTTTACAGTAAAAGCTTGCCTAGAGGCTGTAGATTGTAGCTGGTTTCTGAAATTTTATGTACTTGACTTTGTATGGCAGTTGAACTAGCAATAATGATAGCCATTGTTGTGCTCAATGCTTTACCATCTGCCTCAGGGTCCGAGTGGCATGATATTATCCACATTTCACAGATGAGAAAACAGAGGCCCAGTGGAGTTAAACTACTTGATGGAGTCTCTCAAGTCACAGTGCCTGACTTTCGAGCCTGAGTTATTTCTACAAGGCCAGGCTTCTTTCTGCCCATACTTCGTTTTTTTAGTTCGTGTCCAAGTGTGCATGTATAGTGTGCTGGATGTAAAACCTTCTGCTCCAGGTTGCGGAGGACTTGAAATGACCACGAGAAGGCTGTCGCCCTGTAGGGACTCATCTCCAATGAGACAGATGTTCATAGACACAACGAAATATGATGGTACATGCGCTAACGTAGACCAGCACTACTCAAAAGCGAGGCCCGAGGCCCAGTAGTCTGAGATAAGCACAGCAATTCGAAGCAGGTAGTTAGAAACTGGTGGAGATTTGCGAAAGTTTTTTTTGTTGAATCTAATAATGAAAAGGTGGATGTGAATTTTATATGCCCGTTTTTATTCCTTTTTTTCTAGTAGTTTAATTTTATCCCTTTTTTTTTTTTTTTTTTTTTAAGCTGAGCCATCCTGCTACCTGTTGGCAGCTCAGCGGCTGCTCAGCTCGGGCTGGACTTGAACCGCTGTTGCT